GCAGAAGAACACCAAAAGTATTTAGTAATAGCAACGCATAGTGGTTACTATAAATACAAACGTTTACCTTTTGGGATATCATCTAGTCCAGGTATTTTCCAAAGATATATGGAAAGACTCTTAGCTGGGATACCACAGGTTGGAGTTCTTCTGGACGATATTATAATAACTGGAAGGAATAAGAACGAGCATTTACGAAATTTGAGAGAAGTTTTGAAACGAATGAAAGAAGCTGGTATAAAAGCAAAGTCTAGTAAATGCAAATTTTTTGAAGAGTCGGTGACTTACTTGGGACATACAATCGACCGGAATGGAATACATCCTACTGAAGAAAAAATAAAAGCCATTCGAGAAGCACGGTCACCTACTAATGTCAAGGAACTCCGATCATTTTTAGGTTCTATTAACTACTATGAACGATTTATTCCGGGACTTCATGCCATTTGCAGAGATCTCCATAAGCTGACTGGGACTAAATCGCAATGGAAATGGTCCGAACAAGAAGAGCGGACATTTAAGAGAGTAAAAGAAATTCTATCAAGTAAAGACACAGTAGTGCCATACGAAGAAATGAGACCATTGGTAATGGTCTGTGATGCATCAGAAAATGGATTGGGAAGTGTACTAATGCACAGATATGAAGATGGATTAGAAAGACCAATTGCTTTTGCCAGTCGTACACTATTGCCCGCTGAAAAATAATATTCAAATATCGACAGAGAAGCGCTAGCTATTATGTTTGGACTCAGGAAATTTCATCAATATGTATATGGTCGGAAGTTTACTTTAGTAACAGACCACAAACCTCTACAACGGATATTTGGAAATATGCGAGATCTTCCAAAAGTTGTAAATAGCCGTTTAGTGAGGTGGGCTCTCCAGTTGACAACTATGACATAGAGTACAGAAAAGGAGAAGATAATGTGTGTGCTGATGTTCTATCAAGACTTCCGATTGAAGAAGATCAACCTGAGGAGGCTCACATTGGCTTTTTGAATGTTGATAAGGTTAACTCTATCATGTCTTATGACCTCTTGAAACAAAATTCATTTACAGATAAAGCAATTAAAATGGCAAAAAACTTTGTATTGAGAAATACATGGCCCCTTGTTGTTCCTGAAATGTTGAAGTCGTACAAACAGAGGAAAGATGAATTGAGTGTTGAAGATGACATATTATTGTGGTTTGGAAGAATTGTAGTTCCAGAATGCATGAGAACTGATGTTCTGAAGATATTGCACACAGGACATCCTGGTATTGTATCAATGAGGTCTGTAGCACGACACTATGTATGGTGGCCCAACATGGATAAAGATATCGAAGTTTATATCAAGAGGTGCACATCTTGTCAAGAGAATCGAGATAATGTGGAAGAAGTACCATTATATCCTTGGAATGTACCTGATAGAGTTTGGGAAAGGGTACACATTGATCTGGCAGGGCCAGTCAACGGATCTATGTGGTTGGTAGGTATTGATGCTTTGTCAAAGTGGGCAGAAGTGGACTGTCTCAAGACAACAAACTCTTCAACAATCATTCAACGATTGAGATCTTGGTTTAGTCGATATGGAATACCAAGTGAAATTGTGACAGACAATGGACCTCAATTTGTATCAAAGGAAATGGAAACATTTTTTGAGAAAAATTCTATCAACCACATAAAAACAACTCCCTACCATCCTAAAAGTAATGGACTTGTGGAAAGACTAATTCGTACTTTGAAAAGACGGTTCTACACAACAAAGCAGGATGTTGGAGATGGAATGCTTGCTCTTAAAAATGTTCTTTTTAGCTACAGAAACTCGCCTCAGAAAACAACTGGTAGGGCTCCTGCAGAATTGTTTCTCGGTCGTAGACTACCAACAATTTTTGACAATATGAAACCTAATCTTAGGAAAAAGATGGAGATGAAGCTTTGGAAAGAACAAGGGCGGGACAACAAAAAAGTTCGAACTTTTGAAGAGGGAGAAGATGTGTGGATTAAGAATGAACATGGAAATGGTTGGTCAGCTGGAATGGTGAAAAATAAAAATGGACTGTACTCATATGATGTACTTTGTGGAGGTGTTATAAAAAGGAAACATGCGGACCAGATGAGACAAAGAATGGGAGCTGTTGAATCCGTGTAAAAAGAAAGAGGGGAAAAGTGTTAGATAGTTAAATGTATAAGTAATTAATACATCAGCTGATTTATTATTATTAAGTTTGTTAGTAAATATTCTGCTTAGGTTGATGTGTTTAAGAATTCAATAAAATGGTTGTAATTCTATAGTGTGTAATTTGCATATTTATTGGCTCCAATTTTCACAGTCTAATGAAGATTGGGTATTAAAAATGTAAATATTAGTAGAACACTGAATCAAACAAATTGATAAAATTACTAAGTTTGATGAAAACTAAAAATATCTAATAACCAATATCAATAAAATATTTTATGAACAAGACTAAGGTAAAACTTTTATTCTCCTCTTACTTTATTTTTAGTGGTTTTACATAAGTTTTAAAACTTTTATACATAGATTCTCACACAACTATATACCTCCAGCTAACTATGTAATTTCGTTTAGAGTTCTGAAAGCTGTTCATTGTGATCGACAATCAAGTTATATCGCCTGTCTACAAACTCTGTCTTCAATTTATACGTAGTAGATGTGAAAATATAATTGAGTTTATATGACGAGAAAATGTACCTGTATGGCAATTAAAGCCTCATTAAGAGTTTTCTTTTTAGTTCCTGTTCTATCTTCAACAATTTGACATCTAAGGCCAAATATCTTATGTCTTATGTATTATCTTATGTATTCTATCTTGAGTCCTTATAACTTTCACCTAATTATTCACCTGCCAAACAGCATTCTACCGCGTTGGGTTCTCAGATAAATACTCTTGACTATAATGTGTTCTGCTCATCTCCACACATATCCTTCCAACCTCAATCAACAGTGTCTGGCATCTCGATCCTTCCTCATATTGAGCCAATTATCTCCAATTGTGTGGACACTATTAAGGCATCAATATAATACAAAATATAAATTGAAATGCACAGGAAATAATATGCTGAAGTAATCACTTCCATTACCCAACCTACCATCATAAAAATTACAATTAGTGTAAATTACAATAATTAGTTAAGAAACAACGGAATATTTTGACAGTAAAAAAGCGATTATTTAATTAGATCTATTAAAAACGACAATAAATTTTGTACATGCCTAAAAAAGTCAAAAAATTAATAAAGTAATATACTGTTATTGAGGTTTATAATGATAGTAAATAATATAAAATCTCCTGAACGTATTATTCTATACTACTTCATAAATTATTTTGGATGAGTTAAAAATACACAAATTTTATAACGATTGACGTACGATGATTAATCATCTATAAAGAGAACCCCTCAATATATTTTCATGTAAGTTTTCCAAAAGACTGTTTAATAATTAATATAAACAGTCAAATGTTTTTCAATTGTTTTGTTAAAAACAGTAAATAGTTTAGTCTGTTCTTTTTGATGAATGAAATAAAGAAGATGTTTTTTTTGTTAACATTTATTTTGTAATTTTTAATGTTTAATCGTCCGTGATATCAAAATAACTGAATCACGCACAGTGACGACTTCAAGTTTACATATACAATTGATTAAAACCTTTACATAAAATTATTATAACTTATTAAATATTTAAAATTACAAGAAACCCCTAAAAGAAGGCATAAAGTTTCATAAGGAATGTAAATATATTAAGTAAGGAACAGCAAACAGAATTCCAAATTTCTTGTGGAAAACTAACTAAACAGAGTTAAAATTTCCTGAAAGATTTGTATTTCTCATGTTTGATAACAATAATGTCGTCGCGCTAAGTGTTTAAGAGTTGAGGATGAAATATAACAGACTTTCATGAAAACTTTCATAAGCAAGCTTTCAACATTTCCCAAGTTTAAACTGTCAACATTGTTTCGCTGTTAAAAGTTTAACCTAGACTCAAGACAATTGTTAACTAAATGGCTCTTCAAGGTAAAATTGCTGAACGTTAATGACTTGTAAGTAAGGTATTTCAAACGATTTAACGACTTAAATAGTTTGAAACTTAACTACATATTGTTTTTAAAGTACAGTCGTTTAAAGTATTAACTGATACAACATTTGTAATTTCCACAATCTAATAAAACAGTCAACGCCGACATTTAAAACAAAAAATTTAAACTAATATTTTAAACTGTTATCTAAATAAGTTAAACTTATTTCAAACTTAATTGTAAGCTTGGTTTAGCCTCAATCAACGAGAACATTTATTTTCTGTTATGCTACAACCAAAGTAAATAATTTGGTCACAGCTTAGTTGTTATGGTGCTTTTCTTGTATTCGGGAGGTCGCTGATTTTATCTTGATAAAAGCCATAAGCTTTTTAGTAGATAGAAAATGGGATCTTATATTTTATAAAAGCTTGTGGGGATTAATAACTCATTCCTCTGCGTAAAGTGCGGTAGGATAAAATATCTCCATGTAAAAATTGCTTTTGGAAATATTAAATTTATAATATAAGGTAAGTAGTCTCTAAAACTATTGACTTGTCTACTATAAACCTTATTATGGGACGAATTGCTAAGCGAGACCTACTCCCCCCCTCGTACATAAAAAAATTTAATGTTTTTGCATTTTGACTTACAAGGTCCCTTAAAAGCAGTTTTCGTACCTATGTATTCCAGGATATTACGGTCATAGCTACTGTTCTATGAAAAGATAAAAGAAGACGTCAAAATTATTACTTTTATTTGATTGGTAACTGATATATCTAGCACAGTTGATGATATCAATTGCATTAACTAGAATTTCCCTTGTGTGTAAATGGATGACTCTTAAAGATTACTTACTTACTTACTTACTTGGATATTTGAAGTCTATGTCGTTGACCGATGATATCGGTATGACTGCGTAAGACAACTATTTACTATTTACACAATACGATTTACACTGAGGCAATGGCTAAAAAGTGGCTCGTTACCTAGTTTTTGAAGCTGTAAAGATGCCTATTAACCAGCCTGTCACGTAGGGCCGTCCTAAAGTCATCTAGGTCCAGGTCGCGTACATGAACTGGCAAGGAATTAAAAAACCTTACCGCAGACCGAGGATAGCTCTTCAGTGAGCGGGCTGAGCGGCATCTCGGCAAATCAATGTCACTCGCTTGGCGGGTATGGTGACTATGTATATTGTCTCTGACAACAAAATGGTGGATGGTTACCTTCAGCAGGGTCAAGATGTTGAGGTCATACTGGCTATAAACAGTCAACACACCCAGCTCCAGGAAGATGGGACGACAGTGTGCTTTGTATCCAGATGTTATTATCCTCAGCGCCTTCTTCTGTAGTATGAGTAATTCCTGTGTCAATGGAGAATGGCCCCACAGAACCAGGCCATACGTGAGGTGACTGTGAAACAGTGATACACCGCTAGCAAATACGGTCTGGTAATGGTGGTCCTAAGCTTCCACCATTAGATTAAATAAACAGAGCAATCAGTGTGGCAGAATAGTCCCATTACGTTAAAATATGAAAGTCTTTTGTTAAATCCCGAGCGAGTGCGTTTCTAAACTCAGTTGTCTTGTCATTAGACGATCAATTGATGATCATAGTAGCAATAACGTAAAATCAGGAGTATAACGTAAAACGTGAAAAATGTCATAGGTGCTTAAATATCCACAATAAATATAAATAGAAACAATACAATTTACATTGACAAATTAGCTTGCTACGTATGAAAAGATGAGTAATCTAATGATAAATCCCTTTGAAAAGTATTAAGCTAAAATGGATTATAACTGCAATTACATAAAACAACCACTCGAGTGCAATAAGTCGTTTAAATACAACAGAAAGTTTCAAATATTGTTTGGAACGGCGAGTTTCGTTGGACAACTTTCAGAGTAACTCACTTGGTTCTGATTAGCCTCAGTGCTTGCAGTTGAACAACCATGTAAATAACATTGACCTGCCATGCGTGTTGTTTATTGTTTTTACAGGTTGAGTTTCTACTAAGTGCGTTAATTTTTACCAATACTCAACCCACTTATTTTCTCTCCTCTACTTTATTTACACTACTCACTAAAAGGAATAAAAAATGCCCAAAAAGAATTTTCTAGTCACACCCGTTAAGCTTTAATAGCCGATTACAGTATAAACAAAGAAAAAGTAGAAGAGTAAGGAAGTTCTTTTGGTGGTTCGGAAACCGGCTTATGAGTCGGTAGTGCCACGACTTCGGACTCAAATCAGCGATGATGTGGGTTTGGATCATACTACTTGCCATTACTTTTGACCAATATAACCCCCCCCCCTTAGTCTAGTATCTAGTAGTCTTTGCTAGATACGTCCAACGTACTGATCGGTTGTCCATTTGGACGGGCAAATACCACGGGAAAAGAGGTCGCTAACTTATTGTATTAAAAAAAAACTCGGCTGTGCGTGATAGTGTATGTCTTATGACGGGTCTTGAATAAAAACACGTCTTGCTGCTACAAAGTCCAGTTTATTAAGGAAGCGTCTAGGCTAGTTAACAAGTGGGGTGGGGGACATGCAAGTCACGCCCTTATCATGTTTGACCCATGGTCTACGGAACTTAATTAGCCAGAACGAATAACAATACATGTGTAATGCAAATTATAATAATATGACATCTCCCTTTTCATATAAAAAAAAATAAAAATCATCAACTTTGAACACTAGGCCTAAACAAAACTTTTCTTTTGGCAGAAGCAACATATTAAAATACAAAATTAAAAATTCATCTATACAAAGAGATCAGTTGGATATTACATATTACATATTACATAAGTTCAAACTATAGCAGCATTTAATATATTTATTTTTTTTTTCATTAATGAATCAAAAAATCACAACACTAAATAAAAAACATTTTTCAATTGAAATAAAACATTGCGACTTAGCCTAATCAAAACTACAAATCAATTCTTTGTGGTGCCTTTACTACCCTACCAGATCTAGTTTTATAGGCCATGTCAGTACATTGGTTAGGTGATGTCACTTGACGGTCACGGTTGGGTGAGGTTAGGTTTCTGACAGGTGACGGAGATGTACGAGTAGGAGAACCTATAATGGATCTAGGACTCACAGGAGATCTAGTATCAGGCAGTTTTACCGGAGAGGTTTTGACTGGTACAGGCTTAGGTTGGGAATCATCTTTGTACAAGGTTCTGTTTGGGTTTTGGCTGAAGCCAGGGAATGGACGGATATGATACCTATTTTTCACATAGGCTCTGTCTGACATGTTACTTTTAACAATATAGGACCTTGGTTCATTTCTACTTTTGATTACCTTACCATGTACCCACTGATTCTTATGCTTCATAAGAATATTTTCATTATTATTAAGAGGTCTCATAGGCCTAGCTTTTCTGTCATAGTACATTTTTTGTTTTTCTTGCCTTGAAATCAAACTATTTCGAACATTCTTATAATTTAACTTAGGCCTAAGTGACATTTCATTAGACGGTAGTACACCATTGATCTTTCTACTGAACAATATCTCCGCAGGAGATGGAATCGAGTTGCTAATAGGAGTGTTTCTGTACTCCAATAAGGCTAGATACAAATCAGATTTATCTAACATAGATTTCTTTACAATATTTTTCACATTTTGGATTGCTCGCTCTACCATCCCGTTTGCCTGAGAAAAGTGAGGACTTGTTAATACATGATTGAATTCCCATTGAACACTAAATTCTTTAAAAGCAAAACCAGTAAAACAAGTGTCATGAGCGGTAATTACATGTTTGGGAATGCCATGCCTACTGAATATTGCTTTTACCTGGCTTACTACATATTGGCTTGACATACTTTGCATGGTTAAAATCTCTACATACTTTGAAAAATAATCAACACACAATAAAAAAGTTTTACCATCATGAAAAAATAAATCTAATCCTACCTTCTGCCACGGAAGTTTGGGAACTGGGTGAGGCAACATAGGTTCTTTGAAATTACTTCTTGCATTGACAGCACAAGTTTCACATTTGCTTACAACATCTTCTATTTGATTATTGATGTTTGGCCAATAAATCACATTCCTTGCCCTTAACTGTGTTTTTGTAACACCGAGATGAGGGTAATGGAGACGTTTCAACATTTCAGCTCTTAAGCTGACAGGAATAACAATAGCTGTACCTTTAAAAATCAAACCATTACAAAATGTTAGTTCATCCTTGACACACCAATATTGTCTTATAGCTAGCGGTACACTCTTTCTGTGAGTAGGCCAGTCATTGCCTACAATAAACTTAACTAAACATCTCATTTCATCATCATTTTCTACCAAATTTCTTAACTTATCTAAATTCACAGGACTTATGTTACAATCAATTAACCTCACATGAGCTTCAATCTGTTCATCTTCCAAGTTCAATTCACCATTGTCATTCACATCGTACGCTCGAGAGAGAGTATCTGCAATAAAAAGTTCTTTGCCTTTTTTGTACACCAAGTTTAGATTGTATTGTTGTAATTTGATCCTCATCCTTTGCAAACGAGGAGATAACAGCTCAAGATTTTTTTGGAAAACTCCAAGTAATGGTTTATGATCTGTCTCTATTGTCACAGAAGGACAACCAAAAATGTATTGATGATAACGCTCACAAGCGAAAACTATAGCTAAAAGTTCACGCTCAATCTGTGCATAACGTCTCTGAACTTCGCTTAATGCCTTACTGGCATATGCAACTGGAAGACCGCCCTGGAGGAGAGCCGCGCCTAAACCACTTTGTGAACTGTCAACAGTCAAAACTATTGGTTTGTTAACATCAAAATATTGCAAAATAGGTCTGTTCGTTAACATTTCTTTCAACTTTTCAAAAGAGTTCTGCTGCTCATGTTGCCATGAAAAAATCGCATCTTTTTTCAAAATTGCACGGAGTGGTGCAGTGTGTTCAGAGACATTAGGCAAATGTCTACTTACATAGGTTACAAGACCTAAAAATCTTTGAAGTGACTTCTTATCACTGGGACGATCCATAGAGGTTATGGCCCGCACCTTACTGTCGTCCAGATCAATACCCTTTTCAGTAAATTTAAAGCCTAGGTAAGAAATTTCCTTTATTCCTATCTTACACTTCTCTTTATTGAGTTTAATATTTTCAACCCTTAACTTGTCAAGAACGCGTCTCAAACGCAAGTCATGCTCTGACTTATCGCAACCCCAGACTATTATGTCGTCTATATAAACTTCAACACCCTCAAAACCATCAAGAAGCTGTTTCATTTTCTGTTGAAAAACTTCAGATGCGGAACACAACCCATATGGAAGTCGAAGGAATTTGAATCTCCCAAAGGGAGTGTTGAAAGTTGTAAGGTCCGAAGACTCATCGTCTAGTCGAACGTGCCAAAATCCATTTTTACTATCTAAAGTACTGAAATATCTGGCACCTGCCATTTTACTAGCAATTTCCTCAAAGGAGGGCATTTGAAAGTGTGGCCTCATTATAGCATTATTTAACTCTCTGGGATCTAAACACAATCGTAGGTCACCATTTTGTTTGTATACAATTACCAGTGATTGAACCCATTCAGTGGGATGTTCTACCTTTTCAATAATTTTTAGCCTAACTAAGGACTCAAGTTTACTTTTAAGCTTAGGTACAATTGCTACCGGTACCTTTCTAGCAGCATGAATTATAGGTGCTACACCATTTTTGAGCACAATTTTGTATGAACCTTTCATACAACCAATACCAGACATTAAATCAGGATAATCATTCAATATATCAGTACAAGTTACACCTTTAACCTGATTACAAGTAGGCCTAGGCCTATTAGCACTTGTGTCAGAACTAGACCCTAGCCCTACTTATTTGTTTTGAAGAGAGTTTACTCTTTTTATCAAGTTTAGCTCAACAGAATCTGAGAGACCTAAAATACATGGAGCTTTAGCTTTTACAACAAAAAATTCTAAGAAGTGAGTTTCATTCTTATGTACTACATTCAAAGTGCATTTACCTGTTACGTTTAACCTCTGACCTGTATAGGAGGTTAGGTGCACATCAGTGTCGACTAGGTTGACATCTGTACCAAGAGAATTGAACACATTTTGATTAATTACATTAATTTCGGCACCTGTATCAATTTTAAATATAACAGGATAATTTTCAACCAACAACTCTGTGTTCCATTGTTTACGATTTTTTGTAGACACACAGTGAATAGTATTCAGAGAACCAACAAACAAATAATCAATATCACTATTTACATTAATCTGATCATTTATACTATTTACATTTTTTGTTTTGCACTGATTTGCAAAGTGATTCATAATTCCACATTTACCACAACGTTTACCAAACGCAGGACATTTCCCATTTAAATTATGGTTGTAACCACACTTAAAACACTTTTTTACCGAACCACTAAACTTTTTGTAACCTGCAAAATGTGATCGCTGTTTGTCGTTGTTGAAACCTGCAGCCGACGTAGATGTAGTGGGAGGGGGACGGTTCCGATCAGCTGATGGAAATCCTCCAGCAAGCCCTGTCCGTTTGCGATGGTTGCTATGACGTATAGCATCTGACGTCATCGAGTCGCTGCCTTGTCGATTTGGTTTGCGTCTGCCGATGTCTACTTTATGTAGGCCCATGTTTGAACCTGATTCTGTGGAACAAATTTCTTGCAACTGATGATTAGCCGTCTCTGAGGCTCTACAAATTTCTAATGCTAAACTCAAGGTCAAATCTTTAGTCCTTAATAAACGATCTTTAAGAGTCCTGTCTTTTATTCCTAAAATCAAGCGATCTTTAATTAGACTATCAGTCAAAGTACCAAACTCACATGTACTACTTAAATCTCTTGAATCAGTCACATAACTATCAATGTTCTCATCTTGCTTTTGTTCTCTTAGAAAGAAAACATGTCTCTCATACGTGACATTTTTGCTAGGAATAAAATAGTTAGCAAATTTATCAATTACAACTTTAATGTTACTTTTATCTTCATCAGCTGAGTACGTAAAGTTATTATAGATCTTGAGTGCGCGATCGCCTATCACTGATAATAAAAGAGCAATTTGATATTCACTATTTTCTTTGTTGCTTTTACTTGCAACCATATAAATGTCAAATCTCTGTTTAAAAAATGACCAGTTCTCGGCCATGTTACCTGTCCAACTCAACTCTGAGGGAACTTTAATTGACGGTGCTGCATTTTGTACCACAATGGCGGCAGCTGGTGACGATGAAGTTGATGAGCGTCCTTCTTGACCTTGTCCATCGCCCGCCGTAGTCTTTTCTTCTCCCTGTCCAGGCTTCATTTCTATCTCACTTTATTAATTATACGCACTCTAAAATACTTTTAATATCACGCACATGAGTATAAACATATTTGTCACTGGTTGTACAAACAAACATTTAGCCATTTTCGTACTGCGCCATGTCTTATGACGGGTCTTGAATAAAAACACGTCTTGCTGCTACAAAGTCCAGTTTATTAAGGAAGCGTCTAGGCTAGTTAACAAGTGGGGTGGGGGACATGCAAGTCACGCCCTTATCATGTTTGACCCATGGTCTACGGAACTTAATTAGCCAGAACGAATAACAATACATGTGTAATGCAAATTATAATAATATGACAAATATCCCGATTTCTCGAATATCCCTATCGAAAGAAACAACTGGTTTATACTCGTATGTCCATTATCAAAGGTAAAATGCCGATCTGGTGATCACACTCCATTTCTTACTAATCCTACACTCATATTCAGGTTTAAAAACAAGGTATCCGTCAAATTCTAATGATAATAACGGGAAAGATACCGTAACGTTTAAGGACAGTAGGGGAGCTAACATACCAGGCTTACATCAGGTTATAAAATTACCAGACCACCACTTCACATGAATTGCCTTTGCATATGTAATGTTATCAAGCTCTGCTGGTTATGAGATGTAGGTTACGTTCGAGGATCATTACAGGACACCCCGTATTTTAAACTTATGTGATAGGCCACCAAGCTTCAATGTGTTGACTAACCAACCTTGTTTACAATCAAATTTAAATAAAAATAGTCGTGATATATCCATCTTCTGTCACACCACAAATCCGTAACCAGTAATTCCATCTAGCACATTTTAACTTTTTAGTTTTTGTTTGTGTGTAAATATACTACTCTTTACAGCACCAGTGAATTTTAATATTTGGCATTCCACCTTAAAGCGAACCTTTAGGTGTGAAACAGAGGCCGTCCAACGAAACATAGTAGTGCTTTATATAATTAATAGTATTATCTTTTATAGTATACACTTTACACTATCAAAAGGCTAAAAATGGTTAAACATATTTAAATACATAGTAAGATAAGACGTACATTAAATATCGAAATCGCAATACATTGCAAATCAACCCACAACAAAATATATTTATTTTATAATAGTTAACAACAATTGAAATTTGATGATTTTAACTTTTACTATACTAAATACAATAAAACATTGATTTTTACTGGTACAGATTCCATTATCGCCGTGTGAACAGGTTGTATGTCACTGATACACGGTTTGTTTGCAGCTCCGATGATTGTGACGGATATTTATGACCGTGTTGAATGGAGGACAAAGGAAGACAAATGGATCTCTGCGTCTGATGTGCTGCTGATATTCATTGCAGGTTGTTCGATAATGTTCGTAGAGGCGTTGTAATTGCAAATTAAATAAATATATTAAACAACATAACGTTGTATTGGTTTAAACGTTTCTGATAAAAAAAATTAAAAAAATGTATACACAAACGTAAACATATTAGAAGATAGGGTTTGGACTCATTATTGGCTGTACAGTATACTAGTAGATTTAAGTCTGTCTTTTAACGTTGTTTTTGCTGAGAAAAACATGTTTTAACTAAAAGAGTCACAATTTGTTTTGTTCTTCTAGGAATTTTCTGTTTTCTTCTGATTTATTAATGCATATTTGAGTTGCATAACTCTAAGTTTGCTCTATCACGTGAACCTCAAAGGTTTAATGCATGAAACTTGTCTAGCAAAGTGAGGAGGACTCGATACTGTAGAAAAATGAACTGTACAGATAAAATTTATGTGTCACCCATAAACCGTAACATAGCAGCTGTTTCATAGTTCATTGCCCAGCTGACTAAACTGACGTTTATTTTCCCCGTTGTAGTTGTGTATGTTAAAATGTTTAATTTTTTAACTGTTTGAGGAAAAAATATATCCTCGATTGACAAATTGTATTGATATGCGTATTTTTGCATTACTACGTTATCACTACAGATTATTTTCATGGGAAGTGTGTTTAATACATACCACTCAATTGTTATGGGCCATTTATTATTACTTATGATTATCTTCTTTAAAAAAGAAGCATTTCTAGTACAGTGACAGAACTCATTGTATTATTCTACATTCTCTGACATTGTTAAGACAGTTGTGATACATACACGAACTTTGTAGACAGCTAAAACGAGTTTCTGTTTTTGATAGGTGTTTTACAACTTTAAATTGCTTTTTGTGACAGACTGTAGTACACATGTAAAACATCCGCAGCTCAATGAAAGACAGGATTAAACCGAAGTATTTTTTTAAACCTGTTGGAGTTAAAATTAAATCCCCTAAATGGACATTAAGCATGCGAATTTACTAAACTTACATGTGTTATTTTAATTTTAATATGAAAAGGATAAATACAAGTTTTAAAATCTTTATGGCATAAAAAATTGGGTACACTGGTGTTCTTAAAAGTAAGGGAAACTCATTTGAAGTGGTGAAATTAAGTCAACATGATGAAGGAGATGCACATATTTACTATATCCTTTATAAAAATACAAACCAAATTTTTAACAATTTTACCTTCCCATTACACTTACATTTATGTCTTTTTGTTTTGTGACCGATAAAGAAATATTTTAATTGTAATACATGTTTTTTATTTAACATAATCGAATTTCAAATCTTCATTTGTAAGATTAAACGCGCATTTCCCTTAATAGTTTTACCTATTTAAGACTACTTGGTGAATCATGATTAAAGGCACAAAAGTAATCGTCATTCAATTCACAACACTTTAACAATCAAACAGTCTCCTTCAGTTGGCAACATTAGTTGAGTTAGCAGAGAATGTGGTTTAAGACGTTCTACACTCCACATTTGACTTTGAATTTTTTAAGTAGTCTTCTCATCCTGAAGACTTTAAAGTACGCAAACTTGTTTTACTTTATATTCTACGATATATGCTTTTTATTTCTTTATAATACCAGATGATGAACAATATTTCATCATTGGTTCAGTTATCTTTAGTTAAAATAGTATTAGAGTTGCTCACTAGTAATGAGACAAAGATTAAATGACGACTTAATAGCTATATTTAATTTCACTAATCAACTAAAACAAATTTTTAGAAAAATCTTTTTTCAATGGCATATAAAATACATTCTTCAAACAAACCAAAATTCCAAATTTACTTATTAACCTCCGTAAAATTAATATTAATGTTGAAAGTATATAGCTTCATTGTTATAAAAACGTTGGTTCAATAGTTTGTTCTTTGTTGAATGATTTTTAAAAGAGTATTTTTATGAGTTGAGCCATCGGCCACGCATGGTACAACTAAATATTGTCAGTATCTGTTTTTAACTCAGCCTACCATCAAAGCAGACAATATGAAATGTTTGGTGCTAATGACCACTGTAGCTCTGATTTATACCACTGTCCTTTGACAAGTTGGTTAATGAAATCTAAGTAATTATCAGTCTTTTTCATAGCCATAGAAGAAAAACGCAAATGTTTTATTATTCATTTAGCGATTAATAGATGAACTGGTTTTAATTTACAAACTGGAAACCATCTCTTTGGGGTCAAGTTCATTTAAGTGAGTATCTAGGTGTTGGTGTAATCCTAAATATTAAATATTTGGTGACTTGGAGGCTCATTGAATAACGCGACCAGGAAATCAAGGAAACGATGTCATGTGTTCACTTCCTGGTTAGAATTTATAAAAACTGTCTATTCTTACTTTGTACTGGATAGTCCATTCTTAGTACGTTTTATGTTCAGGCTTTTGAGCTTCATTTGGACGCCATATGGTGAAAATCTTTTTGCAATGTATATTTAACAATCTAATTTTGATAACTTATTGTAGCACTCTAATCACTTAAAGTAAGTCACTTTGTGTCATTTATATGGATAAAAAAAAACAGGTGATGATACAAATGAGATGTTAATTTTAATGGACGACCCCGCTCGCACAGCAGGCCATTAGCTTTGTCTGGTCGTTGTGCTGTTTTACTCTGGGTCAGAGTTTAATTAACATAAAACCTGAAATGAATGTCATCTGTTAAAGAGTTGTGGGATCCACAGATGTAAATCCCGCTTAGCGCATGTAAATGGGGCTGTGTATAGAAACCGGGGATTCAAGCCATCAATACTTTAAGGATGAATGATGTTCAAATAGACCTGACCACATGAAAATGTACCATAAATTCCTGTATTTTTCATATTTCTGACAGATACATGTTCATAATTCATGGATCCGGTACTTAAAGAATCGAATTACACTCTAAACTTTATCCTAGAGTTGTCAATTTTGTATAGTTACGCTTGAATATATTATTTAAAATTCCGCACAAGAAAATATAAAATGTAACTAGAGCAGGGTTTGTTCTATTTTTATTTTTAATAAGAAGAGTTAGGGTTTTTTTAATTATTAGAAATTTTCTATACGTGGATACGCAGCTAAAGCTAAGAAAAGGGAGAAATCTTTACAGACTATGAATAATTTTACATGAATTAACACGGTTGTTAATGACTAGTTTCATATATATGTATGACCATTGATCAATCTTTATATTTATACTGTATGATTTGTTTGTGAAGATTAACTGTCACATGTTTTAATATTGTTATAATGAGTAAATAAATAGTTGTTGAAATGTACTGAAATTGACTATTCTCTTATTTTTGACTTTGATAATTGACAATTTAATATTGGTGCCGAAACTAAAAAAGAACCATGTCTTACAGAAAAAGTAATAGAGAAGTTAAACCTCCAAAAAGGTATACCCCTGATCAGAATGAAAATCATGATACAGACAAATTATCAAAGAATGTTTCTGAGAATGGAAACAATGACACTCAAGGAGTAGCATTGAGACAACCCAGCATTACTTCTAGTAGTTCAAGGAAAACAAAAAGTAAATCAGCAACATCAAGCAGCAGGAGACAAATGGAAATAGAACTTGAAAAGTTGGAGGAAATACAAAAACTGGAACGAGAAAATGAAGAAAAGGAGCTGGAAAGACAAAGACTGATGGAGGAGAAGGAAATGGAGCGACAACGGATGGAGAAGGAAATGGAGCGACAACGGATGGAGAAGGAAATGGAGCGACAACGGCTGAGAGACGAGAGGGAACTAGAGCGACGTAAACAAATGCTGGAAATAAGGGCTTCTATGAAATCACTATCGGCAAATGGTAGTCAAGTCTGCGGATCTGAGGTAAGCATAAGTCAAAGCTTAATATCTCAGAGAGAGGAGAGAGAATCTGAGAGTAAAGTCGTAAAGTGGCTGAATGATAATGAACCGACAGTTCATCAGTGTTCATCAACCGCTATGACCACGGCTGCACAATTACTAGCAGATTCAGTCAAAAAAGTTATTCAACCAACCTCTCTTTGCCGCCAACAACTACCAAACTTTAGTGGTAGACCAGATGAGTGGCCTATGTTCTTTTCTGCATTTGAAAATACGGTAAAATTGTATTCTGATGATGACAATCTAGCTAGACTTAGAAACTGTCTTGAAGGCGAAGCCTTCAAAATGGTGAAACCTCTTTTTGTTTCCAGTAAAAACTTGCATGCCATAATTAAAACGTTACAGATGCGTTTCGGTAAGCCCGAGTTTATCATTGAGTCTATGATGAACCAATCTAGAATGCTAGCCCCTGTAACTGAAGATGATATTGTTGGCCTCATTGAGTTTTCTACAACCATTCTTAACTTTACCTCGACAGCTGAGTCTCTTCATATGGAGTACTACATGAGAAACCCCCAACTACTCAGTGAACTGTTAGGAAAATTGCCTTATCAAATGAAGTACCATTGGGCTCAACATGTGAGCAGTATGTGTTTAACTAGACCTAGCCTAAGTGATTTTTCAGATTGGTTAGAGAGACAATGTTCTATCATGAGTATCTATTTTCATCCAAACGAGGACGTCCCGACTAGAAAGAAAAATGACTTCAAACCTGTGTTGACCAACTCTTCAAAAGCAGCAGTTCCCGCAGTTGGCCCACTTACCTGCGTGTTCTGTGGTGGTAAGCACGATAATGACAAATGCTCTATACTTCGGAAAGCTGATATTTCCGAAAGGTGGAAAATGGTATGTGAGAAAAAGCTATGCTTTTCTTGTTTCAAACGACATCAACTTAAATTTTGTAAATCTAAAAGAGCTTGTAGTATAAACGGTTGTAAGCTGTACCATCACCGTCTCTTACATAACTCCAATCTTGAAAGACCTCCAATGAAAAGAAATGAGGGAGAGTTAAAATCTAGAGATGAAGTAATCGGTAATCATTTTGAGAATAACATATCAAACCGTGTTTTGCTTCGTGTTTGTCCTGTCACGTTGTACGGTCCCAAGTCCCAGGTAGATACTTATGCCCTTTTAGACGACGGCTCGACTGTATCACTTCTGGATTCATCAATTGCCGATGAACTTGGTATCCAGGGTGAGATTCTTCCTTTGACAACATGTTGGTCTAACAACACAAGACACTTTGAATCTCAATCAAAGAGAATAGATTTAAAAATAAAAGGATTTTACGAGGATGAAATCTTTACATTGAAAGGGGTCAGAACTCAGTCCACTTTAGAGTTACCACACCAACAAATAGACAGTGTCAAATTGAGGAAAAACTGGCCACACTTAGACTCTATCAACCAACCTCTTCCAATAGCGAGTGTCAGGCCCACTCTCTTGATAGGCCAAGACAACTGTAATCTTATTCTAACCCGTAAGATTATTGAAGGTCCTACTAACGCCCCAGTACTGTCATGGTGCCTTCTTGGTTGGACTCTACATGGGAAGTGTGCACAATTCAGAGATCGTGTGGATGAGAATTTTACCCTACTCTCATATGAAGAATCTTCGCTTCATGACATGGTAAAGAAATCCTTTGAATTAGAGAAATATGGAGAAACAAGATCAAACAACCTGAAATTGTCCATAGAAGAAGAACGTGGAGTATCGATCCTTGAGGATACCATAAAGAAAACAGGAGATCATTACGAAGTTGGTCTTTTATGGAAAGATGACGAATTTAATTTTCCTCCAAGCTATGACAATGCTCATAGAAGATTAAATACTCTTGAAAAGAAAATGGAAAGAAATCTCGAATTTAAAGAAGCTTACACAACCAAGATTGACGAATACATGGAAAAAGGTTATATTAGAAAACTCAGCCCTGAAAAAGCTGCTATCATAACAGGTCGAACATACTATCTACCCCACTTTGGAGTATCGAACCCGAACAAACCTAACAAAATAAGATTGGTTTTCGATGCTGCTGCTAAATCTCATGGAGTCTCGTTCAATGATGCACTACTCAGCGGCCCTGACTATTTGAATCCATTGCCATCTGTGCTGTTGAAATTCCGGTTGGGGAAATTTGCCATCGTGGGAGATATAAGGGAGATGTTTCACCAAGTAAATATAAGAGATGAAGATGTTGACTCACAAAGATTTCTGTGGCGAAAAGACAAAACCAAACCCCCAGATACCTACATAATGAAAGCGATGACCTTCGGAGCAACATGTTCACCAAGCTCTGCACTGTTTGTTGTAAACCACAACGCAAGACAGTTTCAATCTTTGTATCCTGAAGCTAGTAATTCCATACTGACTAAAGAATATATGGACGACCTGCTAGATTCAACCGACACAGAAGAGGAAGCTAAACGACGTGTTCAAGAAATAATTGAGATACATAGAGCTGGAGGATTCCAAATTTGTAACTGGATGTCTAATTCAAAACAAGTACTTTCGAAAATTCCTGAAAACCTGAAAGCCAGCCAAGCCAAACATTTGATGCCCGATACTCGACTTCCTACAGAACGAGTACTTGGATTATGGTGGGACGCTGAATCTGACTGCTTTGTGTTTCATCGCAATGTCGAAAAACTTGAATTTCTCGAATCCGAGTATCCGACGAAACGAGAGATTCTTAAAGCAGCTATGTCAATTTTCGATCCTCTAGGTCTCATTACCCCAACCACAGTTAAAGGGAGACTACTGGTTCAAGATATATGGAGAACAAAACTAGGTTGGGATGATGTTGTGACACCTGAACTTAGTCTGAAGTGGAAAGCTTGGATGGATGAGGTCAAAAGTCTTCGAACACTGAAAATACAAAGGTGCTACTTCAACACACGAGTCAGTGACTCAGTTGAACTTCACATATTTGTTGACGCAAGTGAAGAAGCTTTTGCTGCAACTGCATATCTGCGTCAGGAGAACAAAGACACTTACGAAACGACATTGATCATGTCACGTGCCAAAGTGGCACCCATCAAGAACCTGACTATACCTAGACTGGAACTCCAAGCTGCCGTTTTAGGGTGTAGAGTAGCTTCTGCTGCCGAGCGAGATTTGGGCGTTTCAATCCAAAAGAAAACGTATTGGTCTGATTCTCAAACAGTCCTACACTGGATTAAGTCAGATCCAAAAAACTATAAACAGTTTGTCTATAATAGAATTGGAGAAATCCAAGAATTTTCTTCGGCAGAAGACTGGAAATGGGTCCCGACAAAATTGAACCCTGCCGACTATGCGACTAGAAGCATGAAAAGGTTCAATTCTGACATTCAAAACACATGGCTCCATGGTCCCCAATTTCTATCTTTAAACTGTGAACACTGGCCCGCACAACCACCGAACCTACAAGTAAAAGAAGACCATGAAGCGAAACGCCAGTTTACCGGCTTACATGCAGATGTCGAAGCAAAACTAATTGACATTTCAAAGTTTTCATCATGGGAGAAACCGACTAGAATTGTTGCTTGGATTTTGAGATATGTCAATAACTTAAAATCGAGGTGCAAATCAAACGACAAAACTCAACTTCGATTTGGAGCAATAGACTACAACAGCATCGTTGAGCTGGAACCTAAAGAACTGAAAGCTGCCGAAGAAATTCTTTTAAAATCTGCACAGGATGAAACCTTTGGTGAAGAAAGGAAACTTTTGATGAGAAAGAAGTCTATTCCGAAGTCAAGCCGCATTTATTCATTCTCTCCATATTTGGATTGTAACAACATTTTAAGAATGTCATCAAGAACCTCAAACTCACCCGAACTGACAGAAGATCAGAAAAATCTTATAATATTGGATGGCCGACACTTTACTTCGAGATTGATAGGACAAATGTATCATAACGAATGTTTCCATCAAGGTCTCGAGACAGTTGGGTGCAAGATAAGAGAAAAATTCTGGATAACAAATCTACGACCACTTCTAAAGAAAATTAAGAAAGAATGCATGAGGTGCAGATTGAATTGTGCGAAGCCTGTTCCCCCTCAAATGGCGCCTCTACCAGCATTCAGAGTAACAAGAACTAGCCACCCGTTCTTCTACACTGGAGTAGATTACTTCGGACCGATAGAAGTAACTGTAGGGAGGAGACACGAGAAACGTTGGGGAGTTTTGTTCACATGTTTGACAACTAGAGCTGTCCACTTGGAAGTTGCACATTCTTTGAACACAGAAAGTTGTATCATGGCAATCCAACGTTTCATTAGCCGAAGACCCTGTCCATCGGAGATGTTCTCGGACAATGGGACAAACTTTGTTGGCAGTGACAAAGAGCTCAGGAATGCTACTAAGTGTTTAAACAATGTCCACATTCAGAGGATCATATCCAGACAAGGTATCAAATGGAACTTTATTCCTCCTCGAGCCCCACATATGGGCGGTTGCTGGGAGAGACTCATCAGATCAGTTAAAACCGCATTAAAATTTGTCATGCATTCCCAGTATCCTAAGGATGAAGAACTTCGAACCTTTCTTGTTCGAATAGAATTTATCCTCAATTCAAGACCACTGACTAATGTACCAATTGACCCACTCGATCCGGACCCGCTCACTCCAAACCATTTTCTTAGAGAAGCCTTCAAAATAGATATCAATGAAGACAAACTTTGCAGAAGGCAGCTAACTCGAGTTAAAACCCTTTTGGACAACTTTTGGAAAAGGTGGATTCACGAGTATTTACCCTGCTTGACAAGGAGGTGCAAATGGCATAAAAGAACTGTTCCGCCTGAAGTCGACGACTTGGCAATAATCATAGACGAAGACAATGCACGTAACACCTGGCCCCTTGGAAGAATATCTGCCCTATACCCCGGTCGAGATGGACAAGTAAGAGTTGTTGACATCACAACACCAAAGGGTACTTTTCGGCGTCCGATGACAAAAATTGCCATTCTACCTGAGGAGGGGAAAGATGTTAATGACTAGTTTCATATATATGTATGACCATTGATCAATCTTTATATTTATAATGTATGATTTGTTTGTGAAGATTAACTGTCACATGTTTTAATATTGTTATAATGAGTAAATAAATAGTTGTTGAAATGTACTGAAATTGACTATTCTCTTATTTTTGACTTTGATAATTGACAATTTAATAACGGTTGATATCTAGATAAAAAATTAATCAGATTTATAGAAAAAAATTATAATTCTCTAAAAAAAATGAAAGAGTTTGAAATAAAATATTGGGTTTAAATGCTATACTAACTTTTTTTTACCACCCCAACATTAAGTCAACTGTTTTAAGTACCTTAATTAGCTACTATGTATAATATTTAATTCATGGGTTTTAAGGAGCACGCCACTCAGATATATCTGCCTCTGTGGTAGAAAGCTATCAACATTCCTCTGCTGACTTGATTAACGCTGCCAACTACAAGAGACTCTTGATTAACTGAAGACTTGTAAACTGTTGAATGCTTGGGTTTGTAGGACCACGCCACTCAGATATATCAGTCTCTGTGGTAGAAAGCTATCAACATTCCTCTGCTGACTTGATTAACGTTGCCAACTACAAGAGACTGTTGATTATCTGAACACTTGTAAACTGTTGAATGCTTGGGTTTGAAGGATCACACCACTCAGATATATCAGTCATTGTGGTAGAAAGCTATCAACATTCCTCTGCTGACTTGATTAACGCTGCCAACTACAAGAGACTGTTGATTATCTGAACACTTGTAAACTGTTGAATGCTTGGGTTTGAAGGATCACACCACTCAGATATATCAGTCATTGTGGTAGAAAGTTATCAACATTCCTCTGCTGACTTGATTAACGCTGCCAACTACAAGAGACTGTTGATTATCTGAACACTTGTAAACTGTTGAATGCTTGGGTTTGAAGGATCACACCACTCAGATATATCAGTCATTGTGGTAGAAAGCTATCAACATTCCTCTGCTGACTTGATTAACGCTGCCAACTACAAGAGACTGTTGATTATCTGAACACTTGTAAACTGTTGAATGCTTGGGTTTGAAGGATCACACCACTCAGATATATCAGTCATTGTGGTAGAAAGCTATCAACATTCCTCTGCTGACTTGATTAACGCTGCCAACTACAAGAGACTGTTGATTATCTGAACACTTGTAAACTGTTGAATGCTTGGGTTTGTAGGACCACACCACTCAGATATATCAGGCTCTGTGGTAGAAAGCTATCAACATTCCTCTGCTGACTTTATGAATGTTGCTAACTACAAGAGACTGTTGATTATCTCAACACTTGTAAACTGTTGCATGCTTGGGTTGGAAGGATCACACCACTCAGATATATCAGTCTCTGTGGTAGAAAGCTATCAACATTCCTCTGCTGACTTAATGCACGTTGCTAACTACAAGAGACTGTTGATTATCTGAACACTTGTAAACTGTTGAATGCTTGGGTTTGAAGGATCACACCACTCAGATATATCAGTCATTGTGGTAGAAAGCTATCATCATTCCTCTGCTGACTTGATTAACGCTGCCAACTACAAGAGACTGTTGATTATCTGAACACTTGTAAACTGTTGAATGCTTGGGTTTAAAGGATCACACCACTCAGATATATCAGTCATTGTGGTAGAAAGCTATTAACATTCCTCTGCTGACTTGATTAACGCTGCCAACTGCAAGAGACTGTTGATTATCTGAACACTTGTAAACTGTTGAATGCTTGGGTTTGAAGGATCACACCCCTCAGATATATCAGTCATTGTGGTAGAAAGCTATCAACATTCCTCTGCTGACTTGATTAACGCTGCCAACTACAAGAGACTGTTGATTATCTGAACACTTGTAAACTGTTGAATGCTTGGGTTTGAAGGATCACACCACTCAGATATATCAGTCATTGTGGTAGAAAGCTATCAACATTCCTCTGCTGACTTGATTAACGCTGCCAACTACAAGAGACTGTTGATTATCTGAACACTTGTAAACTGTTGAATGCTTGGGTTTGAAGGATCACACCACTCAGATATATCAGTCATTGTGGTAGAAAGCTATCAACATTCCTCTGCTGACTTGATTAACGCTGCCAACTACAAGAGACTGTTGATTATCTGAACACATGTAAACTGTTGAATGCTTGGGTTTGAAGGATCACACCACTCAGATATATCAGTCATTGTGGTAGAAAGCTATCAACATTCCTCTGCTGACTTGATTAACGCTGCCAACTACAAGAGACTGTTGATTATCTGAACACTTGTAAACTGTTGAATGCTTGGGTTTGTAGGACCACACCACTTAGATATATCAGGCTCTGTGGTAGAAAGCTATCAACATTCCTCTGCTGACTTTATGAATGTTGCTAACTACAAGAGACTGTTGATTATCTCAACACTTGTAAACTGTTGCATGCTTGGGTTGGAAGGATCACACCACTCAGATATATCAGTCTCTGTGGTAGAAAGCTATCAACATTCCTCTGCTGACTTAATGCACGTTGCTAACTACAAGAGACTGTTGATTATCTGAACACTTGTAAACTGTTGAATGCTTGGGTTTGAAGGATCACACCACTCAGATATATCAGTCATTGTGGTAGAAAGCTATCATCATTCCTCTGCTGACTTGATTAACGCTGCCAACTACAAGAGACTGTTGATTATCTGAACACTTGTAAACTGTTGAATGCTTGGGTTTAAAGGATCACACCACTCAGATATATCAGTCATTGTGGTAGAAAGCTATTAACATTCCTCTGCTGACTTGATTAACGCTGCCAACTGCAAGAGACTGTTGATTATCTGAACACTTGTAAACTGTTGAATGCTTGGGTTTGAAGGATCACACCCCTCAGATATATCAGTCATTGTGGTAGAAAGCTATCAACATTCCTCTGCTGACTTGATTAACGCTGCCAACTACAAGAGACTGTTGATTATCTGAACACTTGTAAACTGTTGAATGCTTGGGTTTGAAGGATCACACCACTCAGATATATCAGTCATTGTGGTAGAAAGCTATCAACATTCCTCTGCTGACTTGATTAACGCTGCCAACTACAAGAGACTGTTGATTATCTGAACACTTGTAAACTGTTGAATGCTTGGGTTTGAAGGATCACACCACTCAGATATATCAGTCATTGTGGTAGAAAGCTATCAACATTCCTCTGCTGACTTGATTAACGCTGCCAACTACAAGAGACTGTTGATTATCTGAACACATGTAAACTGTTGAATGCTTGGGTTTGAAGGATCACACCACTCAGATATATCAGTCATTGTGGTAGAAAGCTATCAACATTCCTCTGCTGACTTGATTAACGCTGCCAACTACAAGAGACTGTTGATTATCTGAACACTTGTAAACTGTTGAATGCTTGGGTTTGAAGGATCACACCACTCAGATATATCAGTCATTGTGGTAGAAAGCTATCAACATTCCTCTGCTGACTTGATTAACGCTGCCAACTACAAGAGACTGTTGATTATCTGAACACTTGTAAACTGTTGAATGCTTGGGTTTGTAGGACCACACCACTTAGATATATCAGGCTCTGTGGTAGAAAGCTATCAACATTCCTCTGCTGACTTTATGAATGTTGCTAACTACAAGAGACTGTTGATTATCTCAACACTTGTAAACTGTTGCATGCTTGGGTTGGAAGGATCACACCACTCAGATATATCAGTCTCTGTGGTAGAAAGCTATCAACATTCCTCTGCTGACTTAATGCACGTTGCTAACTACAAGAGACTGTTGATTATCTGAACACTTGTAAACTGTTGAATGCTTGGGTTTGAAGGATCACACCACTCAGATATATCAGTCATTGTGGTAGAAAGCTATCATCATTCCTCTGCTGACTTGATTAACGCTGCCAACTACAAGAGACTGTTGATTATCTGAACACTTGTAAACTGTTGAATGCTTGGGTTTAAAGGATCACACCACTCAGATATATCAGTCATTGTGGTAGAAAGCTATCAACATTCCTCTGCTGACTTGATTAACGCTGCCAACTGCAAGAGACTGTTGATTATCTGAACACTTGTAAACTGTTGAATGCTTGGGTTTGAAGGATCACACCCCTCAGATATATCAGGCTCTGTGGTAGAAAGCTATCAACATTCCTCTGCTGACTTTATGAATGTTGCTAACTACTAGAGACTGTTGATTATCTCAACACTTGTAAACTGTTGCATGCTTGGGTTGGAAGGATCACACCACTCAGATATATCAGTCTCTGTGGTAGAAAGCTATCAACATTCCTCTGCTGACTTAATGCACGTTGCTAACTACAAGAGACTGTTGATTATCTGAACACTTATAAAATGTTAGACGTATCTTATTCAACCTACTTGACTGGTCTTAAAATTAGACTTACTGAGCACTTAATATAATATTTTAGGTGAAAATAAAGAACCACTAGAGTTCATTGTAGCATTATATGACGTGTTGACTACATTGTTGATAGATAGTTGATATGACGTGTTTAGGCTATCAGGTAACATTCATATTGACTGTGTTTGAGTATCGGTCCTGTGGTAGCTTTGATGACAGTATAGTATGCCACATCATAACGTATTGGATTTGGTTGGAATAATGGACAACGTGATCAAAAGGTTTGTTTATTTTCTTTCCTCACAGCCTAATAGGATTTCTGTGTTATTAAAAAAATATTCAAGATTCAAGATTTTTTAAGATATAATTTAAAGCTTTTAATTTGTTCAAAGCCGTGGTCCTGGAAGAATCGGCTTAGACCAAATCTGAAGGAAGCTGGATTAGTTTATAAAAACGCATTTATGTTATAGATTTCACATCAAATCTGGATGACAAATTTTGGTTTAGTATAAAAAATAAAAGTGGGTTTCAATTGCAGATTTAAATTTGAGAACTAAGATCGGCTTAATAAGTAAAATTTGTGAAACCGTGGAAAATGAAATTAGAGCTATTTTGTTTTTTGATTGAATTAGTTTATTG